ATAGGGATGCACTCTCATGAGAATAGTTCTTAATGAAAGAAATAAGAATAAATCTTAGCCATTAGATCATATCATCAAATGACTCAAAAAAATATCAATTATTACACTCATTAAGGGTAATGTGGTAATTACAACATACATAAACAATTAATATCATGTGGGCCCTATTAGAAATCAAACAAAACACGTCGAGCAAATCTAATCATTTTCCACATCTCTCAACTCTCTCTCTCTCTCTCTCTCTCACTTTCTCTCTCTCACACACACACAAATGAATGTCACAAGCACACAGATCTCAGACGGACCTCCGACCACCGCTCGCAGTGCCGCCGCACCACCGCGTCGTTATCCGTCGCCGTTCACCGTCGTGGCTCCATCGTCGCCCTGACTCTCGCCGGCGCACCTCACAGTCGCTGAGTCGCCGGCATCGTCGCCACGATTCTCGCTGCCGCACGTCACCCATGTACAGCCGCGCTCCGGACGTGGTGGAGCGTCGGTTCTCCTTTGTTAAACTCACAATGTCTGACTCCTCTCCGCCTGAAAATGACAGCTTTGCCGCCATTCGCCGCCGCCTGATAGCTCATGTTGTCGCCGCCGCCTGAGAACACATTGTCCACTGTGCAAGTGGTGGTGTGGTGTTTGAGGGATGGCTGATGTGTGTGGTGGTGGAAGGTGCTAGACTATTAATTTGGGGCTAGGGTTTGCTTCATGAGAATTAGATATAATTTAGGGACCTAATTGTAATTTTAAAAAGTTAAAATATAATGCCATTTAATTTAATTAATGTTAAAATATGTATTTTGTGAAAAAAACTATATATGTAATAAGTGTACATTATTGATTATTTAACTGCACACTATTGTGAACGAATACGCACTTTTAAATTACACGCTTTAAACTTCACAATATTCATTCTCATTTTATTTATATAATATATATCTCTTATTTAATTTAAACAAAAATAATATAAAATATTAAATAATAATTATAAATAATTTGATAAATGTACAATAATGTTAAGTAATTATACATTATCAAAGTTTTATATAAAATGAAATGCAATAAAAATACCCGATCGGAATACTGCACAATAGTGATATACTAAATGCACATTAATGTATGTAGGAATGCACAAAATCGTAACGTTGTGCGCAACGACGACTCATGAAAAATTAGAAGCACATTGTTATGTAGTTATACATTTTTTTGCAATAATTAATGTGCATTTTTTTTATTATTGTTATTGTTATATATATAATAAATATATTAAAAATACTAAGTATATTTCAATATATTAAATAATATTTTATTCTAAATATTTGGTTAATTCATTCAACCAACCAAAATGAACTAAATATTTTAGTTAACCAACCGAATAAACTAAATATATCAGTTTAATTTAATTTGGTTCGAGACAAAAGTTAAACTAATTCACTATGCACTATAAATGCACAATATCGTTGAACAGACTGCACATTAATAACTATCAAATTTCACATTAACATTTACATTTTTTTTTATGTAAAACTGTTATTTATTTTTGAACGAACAAGATATAAAAAATATTAAATATTAAAATATAATTATGTTTTAACATAAAAAATAATTTTATTTTTATTCATTAGAATAATTCGTTACACGTCCGAATAAACCAAATATTCAGTTCAGATTCAATTTAGTCTAAGACAAGAGTTCAGTCGATTCAGACTGCACAATAGCGGCCAAAACAGTGCACAATAGAGTTAGACGAGTTGCACATTATTATTTGTCTGATTACATGAGCGGACGAAACTAATCGGACTAAAATTTTATGTTCGAATCTTTATATGTCAGTTCGATTATTTATTTCTACTTCTAAACATTAGGTTATTTTAGTTTCATAGGGGCTTTGTTTTTTAAAATTTTACTTGTCAATATTGCGCACTGAATAAGTTTCAATAAATTATAAATTTGACATAAGAACTCAATTGCAATATAATTATATTATCCTAATTTGCACATTAGTCCCTGTTTCATGTCCAAATCTCAAAATTAAGTCCCTTATCACACCACCACTTCATCCTCGTCGTTTATCCCAATATGCCGGTAGAGCTCGGGTCCGCCACCTTCGGTGCAGTGCTAATGACACCGGATTCATCTCGGCGGCGCGGCCTGAAGCCTAATCTCGCCACCAATTTGATTGAGAATAGCAATTATGTGAATCTGTGATTTAGGTTTTGAGATTATTACCTTGACGTTGTCGCCGAGGAATGACGGGAACTCGACAGCAAACGGAGAATTCCTAACAGACTGTAAATAATTTCGTTCGCAGCCTGGTTTAAGTTCGCCGGAGAAGGGAGGCCGCCGGCTTTCTCTGGAGACTGGAGCAGAAAGTGAAAACGAGCAGAACTATTGAGAGGGATAGATATATACATATAGATGACGCGAGAGTGATGGGCGACGAAAAATGGTGGAGATTACGGCGACGTTAGACCGTTGGTGGCGGCGGCGGTTGGCGGACGGTGGCAGCTGGCTGCGGACGGTGGCCGTGAGCTACCTGCGGGCTGCGTATAGATTGATGGCCGTAGGCGGAGGAGGAAGGTTGATGGCGGGGCGACGGCCGTTGATCGCCGGCGGGCGTTATGGTGGTCGGATCTAGTGTGTGTTTGTGTGTGTGGACTGTGTGTGTCTGTGTGAAGTGCGTGGGTGCCGATATTAATGTGTGTTTATGGGAGAGATGGTGTGGGGTCCACTTTAAGATGTAACTAGTACATACCTCGTGCGATGCACGGAACATAGATATTAAATGAGTTATTTTAACAGCTTTGTCCGTTTAAATCTTAAAAGTAATAGTGTTATTATCTATTTTCTACCTCTTTTAATCAACGTTAAGTCTACAAAACAAAAGGTTATAAGCTTTTTTCATATCTTTTAACCAACATCGTTTTTTAGCCAGAACATTAAATATGAGTATGTTAGGGCTAACTTGTAAAATAATTAATATATTATATCACTAAAATATTTATACTAGTAAAACTTTAATTTCAGTATATAAATTTATCCCTTGATATAAGAAAAGTAACAGTTTTGTCTATTCTTGTTCATCATATAATATTTAATTATTACTTTATT